CTTGACATCATCAGAATTGAAGCTGCCTCACTCGTCATAGCCTTGTGTGTGCATTTAATGAAAGGAAGCATACATTTGGAACTTTGTAAAAGCCACAGTTAGAGCACAGAAGAGTTTATACATGTCAAATACCTACTGGTGACCTGCTAATGTTTGGATATCAGAAGGTGAGCATCCTTCTCTTCTTAACACTGCTCTAAGAAGAGATCATCGACCGTCACAATTAGCATAGCCTGTACCATCCGCATGCTGATGCACAGATTGACAGAGGTCAGGGTGATCCGAGCCACTGGAATGTTGCTATGTTTTCCATAAGGGGAAAGACAAGAGAGAGTCTAAATATCCTATTGTCCCTTATCTACTGCTAGTCCAAAAAGAAATGACAGACTTGTTTATTTATGAAAGCACACAATGGCATTTCATTTCAGTGACCCGGCAGTCTTCTGCCCAGCAAGCTGACTCAAAGGTAGGCTATATTCAGCCTAATCCCCTGAGCCCTAACCACTTTCGGGAAAGTTAAGCACTGCTGAAAGCTTCTGGTGTTGAGTAGGGAGCCTACAGCCATCCAATAAAAACCACTAAGCACAGAGGCTGGGAGGGGGTCTGATTGCAGCCCCTTGTGTGTTAAAGCTGCAAAGTCTCCAAGTACAGTCCAGTTGGATGTAAACAGCATTCCTCTGCTGGGGTGGCAAATGATACCTTCCTCCCTGCTGGGCCCCAAGATATAGCCAAAACTTGTTTACTCTGTAATTTAGAGTTCATTGTAATCTAAATAGGGATTTTTGCAATGCAAATAGGGTTGTACAAAATGTAATACATTTTATTTATCGCTGCTGTTAATTATGGCTATATAACTTATCACTCATCACATAGACTGGATTGCAAAACACAATGTTTCAAACACACTTTAACTCTCAGATCATGATCAGTAAAGAGAATATATTACACTTTTAATACACTCCCCCATTTTACAATAGCCTGCATAAACCCCATTTTGTTGAAACGGATTGCAAGAAATTAGAAAAAAAATATCTTTATTCATGTTCAGAAGTTGTTTCTGATTACAGAAAGTAGGCCCTTTAATTAGATTTGCTAAACTCCCTATTATACTGACTGGTTGCACATATATGGGGAAGCCTGCTATTAACCCAAAAATTCAAACCGTTAGAAGATAATCTCCTATAATGATCTAATGCTAACATAAATAACTGCAGTTCAGCCTAGCTAGAACTGCCTCTTAGTGCTTTTTAAGGCTGCCGAAACTTTGTCCTTTGCAGGACAAATGTTCAGGAGCAACAATGTTCAACTGAAGGAAAAAGTCTTCTCTCTCTTTGGCCAGTAGGAGGTGGTCTAGGTTTGCTGCTTGTATCATTTACAACCTGTTGTAAACTAATAATCGGGCTCAATAAAAAATGAAGTTAAAATACTGCCCAGGGAAGTGGGATGAAGTGGTTAATGCTTGTTACATAACCTGATGCTGGACCTTGATCTTCTGACAACACCCACCATTCTCCAGGTGACACTGCAGATAAATGGTTCTCTTCAGTGAGGAAAACAAGTGGTAAAGTGATAAATGCTTCAATCACTGTCAATGAAATACCATGCCTCTTATGCAGCTCAGAGATTAGAAATCTTTTATTAGCTGATTACAGTTCTCAGAAAATGTATTTAGACTGTGTCTAAGAGGCCTGGTGCTGTGAGCACTGAACTCCTCAGTTCCTCCTATACCTCACTGCATTTGGGAGGGCAGTGCAGCTGGGGACAGGTAACCCAGAGAGACCTGGGACCTCCATCCAAGGAGGCTTTCAGGACTTGGATAGGCAAAGCAAGGTCTGATCTACAGGTTGCACTAGCCCTGCACTGGGAGGAAGGCGGAACTGGATGGCAACTATAGATTTCATCCCATCTCTCCATCTTCTTCCAACTCCCCATCTTCAATAATGCTGTGATAAGTGCTGATGTGTCTTACACAGCACTCATCGCCTCATATCTGAGACTATGTTCCTGTACTGCAAGGACTGCAAAAGCAGTGGTAATGTGCCAGGAGATCCTGGTGCCGCAGGCATCCGTCTAAGTTCCCATCCAGCACATGCACCTGGGTTCCTTCCCACAATAAAAAGAACAAGAGGATTAAGTTGTGATATGTTTCTGGATTTTGGCCTAAAATGGAATTGAGGACATGGCTGAAGAATGGGAGCAGACTGAGGAAATACCTCTTTTACAGTTCAGACACAGCCCAAATGCCTAAAGACAATTCTGATTCTAGCTGAAATGTTGTCACAGTAGGTTGTTTTTCAGAAATAACATTAGTATTGAGAATGGTCACTGTAAGAGAGGGTAATGCTGGAGGGAGACAGAAATCCATGCAAGTATTTGGCAAACTGGAGTATCTGACAGAGCTGGAATTAGCAAAGCTGTTCTAGTGTTTCCCCTGCCAGTATCCAATAAGAATTTTTGTTGGTAGACCTGCAATCAGCAAAATGTTTTGTAGAAAGACAAGTCCTGTGGATTGTGCACTTCTGCAGCGTTTTCTGATACCAGAAGCTCAGACTGGATGTAACATTGTCTTGTATTTAATTTGAGCAATATGATAACACTGAAATAATGAGTAAGTGGTAGCAAGTAGTCTGCATGTGAATATATTGTTTTAGGATTCACCTGCACCAGAAGCTACATTTACATAGATAGATGGTAGTATAAGAGCCATTGTTACTGACTATTCCATAACGTAATTAGTTTTTCACTATCTGTATGTAAGAGGCAGTGCTTATTGGGTTAAGAGTACTAGCAGCAGCCTGTTTTGTTTCTTTTTCTTAAATAATCAAAACCCCCCAACAACTCCAAAAATAACAGTTGCTGTGGAATAGCTGCTGTAAAGTTGGTAGCAGTAAACCTGTCATTTTTGAAAATGCCATTTGGGAATTTATTTGCTGAATGATTAGGGAGACTGTCAAAACATAAAAGATTCGGAAGTAAACTGTCCAACGTTGAAAGCTACACAGCTTGTCATAAGAGCAGTTACACTGCAGCTAAATCCTTGGTGATGTAAATAGCTGTCAGCTCTCAATTAAATTGGGATTGCTCCATATCAGTGTTTTACGCTACCTTTAGTCAGCCTCTTGTTTTCAGTGCCAGATCAGCTAACAGCGTACAGAGTAGAGCTCATAGCATGTTGCTGGTACCAGTTGCTTTGAACATACAAAGTAGTGAATATTAAAAGGAAAGAAAATGCTTAATAGTTCATCTTCTAGCTTAGATGTGTTGCTGTACAAGGGTCACAAAAACTGAAGTGCGAGCAGGGAACAGCTTTGCTCGCCATGGCCAATGGCCAGGGGAGGTGTGTCTCACACTGATGGCAATGTGGCCTCTGTCAGTTGTGGTGGCATCTAATGGCACTTCCGTGATCTTGGTTGAAAAGAGGCAGACTGCCTTGTCTGCTGCTCTGTCCCATACTTTTTCCCCATGAAGCAGTGATGAACATAAATGTTTGCAGCCACGTACATGTGCACAGGGCAATCTGGATTAAAATATGAAATGAACAAGCTTTACAGTATTTTCTCCAAGAATCCGATTAAAACAATATGCTTTCCATCACAAAGATGCTATCAATCCAAAAATCATACTTTGTATTCCCAGGACAGATCATTAATAGTATGTCAATCAAAATTTGATTATAATAATCCTAACCTGTTTAGTACAAATCCTGCAGAGCCTTTTATTTTTTCAACTGGATGAAAATAATAATGATGCCACCATCAGAAAAGTTAAAAAAAAGAGGATACATTTGATACTCTGATGGTTTAAACTCATTTTAGCAGAGACTGTGGAATAGGGGCAAATGTTTTCTATAAAGCTGCTCTTTCTGAACACCAACATTTATGAAAGTCACATCCACTAAATCTGTGGGTCTTTCTCGTGAATGTTTTATCTAATTCCAGCTTTGCTAGCATGTCAGAGGGTTGTGCTTTTGGTAGGTTTCCAGTTGTCTGGTAGAAATCCAGTTGCTTATTCATGGATGAAATCTGAACAAGATGGAAGATAGTGCAATGAATGGAATTACCTTTTGACTTTGATGAGCTGGCCTGAAACTGGAGGGAGAAGCAAAATTCTATTATATATAATTTTCCCTTTCCAGTTTTATTTATTTCCTTTCCCTCCACTCCATCTTTGCACTTTTCTCTGGGCATTTGGCAAATCCACAAATGCCGTTAACGTTGCTCCTTGGCTGAACATTAAACGCATATTTCTGAACACGACTGCTGACTTCTCCCTATCGTGCACCTCACTGACATGCCTGGATCCTTCTGGCTCAGCGCCTGGGTTTGTACATGTTCTTGGAATATCCCAAGGGAAATCCCATCAAACTTCTCCTGTTCACATGACCTAATGATTGTTTGAAACTGCCTAGTTTTGCATCTTCTTTCTTTTAAGATCTGAGTTTTAAGTTCATGTGTTACATTGGACTTTGGAGAACTTTACTTTGACCCAGCTAACTTCTTGCCTGGGCATGAAAAATCTTTACTGGAAACCATGTGATGTCCATGTAAACACTGAGATATGGTTGGTCACTGCACATTTGCCTTCAAGACAGTATACAAACAGTGAGAATACAGCAACCTTTAGCCCACAGTCATTAGGTATGTGTGGTACCTCTGTTACAGATGTAATGCCTTGTGCAGAGTTCAAGGCTTGCATATGTAAAGACTGAGGGATTTTTTTTTTCCCACAGAGTTAAAACCCAAAATGTTAGTGTTGTAGCTAAAGACAAGGTTATTTTTAGTAATTTAAAAAGTGTTGTAATGTAAACAAGTACAAAAAAGCCCACAGGCAGACTAGTCAATATAGGGTATTTTTATCTACCATTGTAGGCTACACCACTTCTGTATTAACCATTTTAAGCAAAAAATATGCCAGACCATTTGGGCCTTAGTATAATGATGTTGTGATTTATTGCACTCAGTTTCCATCCTGCAGCAATTACCAGAAGAGCTGATAATGGTCTGCAATTTGTTTTCCAGATCAGGGAGTAGCTGCCAGCAGGAGCTGCTCACATGGAAAGACAGTAGTTGTTTACCTGCACTGCAGAGCCAGACCAGGGAGGACAGGTCAGTGACAATCCGCTGGGAATGCACGGTGCCAGCCTGTTGAACTAATAAGAGCTGGTTATTCAGGATGGTGCATTGGGACCCAACAGTGTAAAAACTGGCTTGGTATTAAATTTCTATGCAAAAATATGAGACCTGACTAAAATGATGCACAATGTGTCAGTCTTTCTCCCCTCCAGTTCACTCATGTTGATTTAAGAAAGTCCTCTATTACAAGAATCAAGTGAAACACCCCCTGTTTTTAAAAGCTTACAGCCCTAGCTGTTGGTGGCATTTCCTTATAATGGAATTTACTGTAACCACTTGTTATATGGAATCTTTATAATCCATGGGGCTAGAGATGTTTCCTGTTTTCAGCTGGTTTCTTGGTGACCTTGGAGTCAATGTATTGAAGCTCAACATACTTTTCTGAGAACCTGATCCTGCCCAGCTGTGACAACTGTTTATCAGCTGCCAAGAGAGATCCTGTGAATCTCACTGCAAAAGACAGATATTCCTCTTCAGATATAAGATGATTTCACACTTACTGTAAACTTTGGGGTTTCCCTAACTATCAACATGGTTAGTTTAATTCTCTTTTGCAGGAAAGGGATTGCAGGATAGAAAAAAGTAATTTGGCATAAGGTGTCATAGCCCACATCTTAACGTGCAGAGTAGTTAATTTCATCGGGTAATCAGCTGAGGGCATAAGATAATGGACAAATATTTAGCAGATTGAGAAAAAACTTTGTCTTCTCTAAGAAAGGAAAAAGATGTTCAGTATTTTGTCATTAGAGAATGAAACTGATTCTTTTAAAAAGCTATATTTGACTTAGCCCGTATTCTGTCTCTTCTTCTAGTTCTTTTTGTCTGTTTACACTCTTTGCTGTACCTGTGTTCAGTATTTGGTATTTTGGATGAACAAATATATAAATAACTGTGTGCTACTTGAGCATAATGATACTGATTATGTTCTTCTACCTTTATTAAGCTCAGTGTCTGGAGTTTTAGAATAGTAAAATGGACTTTTACTGTGCTTTATTTAAAGGAGAGCAGTTAAATGGTTTGCCTCCCTCAAAATGTACCCTTTTTTTTCCTGTAAGATGGCCGGAAAGAGAGGAAGGATTCCTATTGGCAGTCTCGTTGGTGAAAGCTGTAACATAAGAATCTGGATCACACCCAGTAAGAGAACTAAAACCAGCACTATGTCAAGACAGCATAACAACCAGGGATTGTAAATGCCAAGCACAAGTAAGGACTCTGCCTTATTACTTCTTTTTGTCTCTGTTTTCTTTCATGCATATGCTTCTGGTTGTGAGCACTCTCTCTTGCAATCTCCGGAGGCAGTGGAATTCTCACTAAGTTTTCAGCAAGAACAGGAATATCAATGACTGCAGCAGGCACTTGGCAAGGAGGCATAAATATCTCCCCACCACCATTTTTTCCATCAGCAGCAACTGTTTGGGGTGTTTTGGTTTTTTCTGTGAAGTTTTTTAATTTTTTTTTCCCCAGTTGTTTTGCTCCTAAACACTTCAGAAAGGTTGTAGTTTGTACTGAAGTCACTTTTCAGTAAGCAGCCAAAATAATCAGGTACTAATTATGGCTAAGAACAAGGTCCAAAGTGTGATTCATTATAGTTCTTTGGTTCATCTAGAGTAAATAGGAGCTTATCTGTGGGGCTGCCTAGTTTTTTTACTTCAGTGATACCTGGAAACTATAGCTCAAGATGTTAGAGAAAACTTTGAACCCTATACTAGTTTAAACAGGTTTGTGGCCTTTGGCTTTTTAATGTTTCCCTTGGTTCACTGTTAGATTTGAGTGATTGCCAAGTAGTGTGAAAGCCTGGAAATTGGATATTAATCTTGAAACTCTTCTTTAGAGTCTTTTCCCAAGGAGGATGTTACACATTAAACATTGTCCATCCAGCTGGGCAGAAAAGAATGTTTTCCACTTTTATTTCAACTCTTATTCTCAATGAGAACAGAGAAGTCTTGGTACTTTGTAAGTAGACACTGCAGCCACAAAGCAATAGGAAGATGTCCTTGTTTAAATGACTGTGTGGCTTATTTTCATTAAAAATATGGCTTTGCACTCATGTTAAACCTTTCTGGTAAAGGTATCAAAAAGTTTTGCAACTTTAAATTCACAATGAAAGCACATACTTGTATCTTATTATTGTGTCTTCAGAGAATGCTTGAGGTAGGAAGAGATGGTGATATTTAAATGTCCCAACTGGCCTAGGAGAAAATATTAACCATTTGTCTACTCTATTATTTTACTCCCTATTACATTTCTACCACCCTTTGGAGAAAACAGAGATTTTAATAATGATTTCATATGGTAGAGAAATGTAATGTGGAAGAAAGTTTAATTCTGAGTAGATATATATTAGTATCTATATATTATCTGTGGAACAATATGTTGGACTTAAGATTACTTTATCAAAAACATGACTCTTCATATTGGTAGTTCAGCTTGTAAGTCACATAATGCTTTTGAAAACTACTTTTCATGCCTATCATTCAGTCTTTTGCCCACGTAATTCCTGTTGGTTTAAGAATTCCAGCCAGTGCTCAGTTGATAGAAAACACAGACAAATAGAACAAATAAGTAATAGAACTGGTTCTTCCCATGTATGTATGCATATATATGCCTAAAATTTAGATACAAGCATTAAAGATTTAGATAAAACACTTAAGACTAATGTGGTAGCACTTTTTGTCTTCAGCTATGGTATATGGAAAAAAAGGGTAGTATAACCAGACCCTGCTATTTAACTATATTTCCTTTTTGCCTGTTCATGTAAATGACAAAAAAGCTGCTTCCTTCATCCAGGTTGATGCAGTTTCAAGGGTTTCTCGAGGACTCCAGAGGCCTTTAACTTACTCTTATTTTAAGAACAATAGCAAACTTTTATTTCTGAAATATTTTAAGATCTGAAGAAACCTGATTCCAATACACTGAGTTTGGGCCCAAGTCAAACACTGATGCTTGCTATGAGGTGGCCATGTAGGAAAGCCTGATTAACTCCTGACTTGGGTGAGCACAATAAATGGAGGCTCTGTATGTCTTAAAGGTGGTGTTTTCATCCAGTGCAAATCAGAGTAAGTCAGTACAGTTAAGGTTTCCCACTTACTTTCTTGAGTCTGTGCTTATTTACCCGCTTTTGGGTCTGACCCTGTGGTCCTGACAGGCTTGCAAAGAGCAAACTCTATTTGCAAGTCTAATAATGTGGCTGAAACTGGTAATTACTATACATACTTCTGGAAGATCTATAATATAATTAGCAGCTTCTCTGAGTTGCAAGATGACAATAAGAGAAGATTTATGTGCTTCCTTTTAACTTAAGCATGGTTTACTTTGATAAATACAGTTCTGAGATAAGAATAAATGTATATTGCATTGGCCAATCTTCCCTGTGACACAGAGATATGTATTACCTCTTTGCTCCAATTATCCAAAATGATGTTGCTTTCCCTTTTTCCCTGCTTGGATTGCCTTTTTAAGTGTTCGATACCACCCTTGCCAAAGGGGCACAGTTATTCCTACAGGTTAAATCTCTTGATTTTGGGTGGAGAAGCTGTATAAATGTGTTGCCAGTGTGGCAGCTTAGTGAATCAAACTAACTGCCTTACATAACTTCTTCATTAAGAGTCTCACCTGATAGTCTGAGGAATCACAGAATCATAGAATCAACTGAGTTGGAAAAGACCTTTAAGATCATTAAGTCCAACCATTCCCCCAGGACTGCCAAGACCACCACTAAACAATATCACTGGGAGCCTCATCTACACTGTTTTTGAACTCTTCCAGGGACAGTGATTCCACCACTGCATGGGAAGCATGTTCCAGTGTCTGAACACCCTCTCTATGAAGAATTTTTTCCCAATATCCAATCTAAACCTCCCCTGCTGCAGCTTGAGACCATTACCTCTTGTCCTATTGCATGGAACTTGGGAGAAGATACTGACCTCCATCTCACTATATCCTTCTTTCAGGTAGCTGTAGAGAGTAACAGGGTCCCCCCTGAGCTTTCTCTTCTAACTCTTCAGACTAACCCCCCCCCGGTCCCTCAGCCATTCCCCATCACACCTGTGCTCCAGGCCCCTCACTAGCTCTGTTGTCCTTCTCTGGACCTGCTCCAGCACCTCAATGTCTCTCTTGTAGTGAGGGGCCTGGAACTGAACACACAATCAGACATGCAGCCTCACCAATGTACAGTACAGAGGGGGACAGTCATTGGCCTGGCCCTGCTGCCACATCAGTGCTGATATAGGAGGATGCTGGTGGCACAAGCTGCTCATGTTCAGCTCCATTAGCCAGCACCCCTAGGTCCTTTCCCACTGAGCAACTTTCCAGCCACTCTTCCCCAAGCCTGGATCATTACATGGGGTTGTTGTGGCCCAAATGAAGCATCAAATGCATTTGCCTTATTGAATCTCATATCACTGGCTGCAGCCGATCGATCAGTCCTGTAAAGGAAACCTTGGTTGGTTGGGTAAGAAAATGGCAGAAGCCAGTGAGTAGGAGAGCTCTTATTATCCATGTGTGCTTGGTCTCTCACTATTGCTGTGCTGCCAGAGCTTGTTGCTGGCCTGCCTCTTTCTGTCTCTGATGTTCTAGCATGGAGATGGTGTCCAACATATGTGAGTGACAGCCTTTAAATAGTCATTTACTAGTTCTCTAGACTTCATTAAGCAGGAACTAGCCTAAAGTACTGGTGAATGGACTATGATCAGGGCCTTCCCAGACCCTGAAATTCAAGGCAGGAGCATAGCTGACAAGTCCAGTTTTCTTATGATCTCTCAAAAGCCCAGTGTATTCTCATTTAAAGGCCAACTCCACCACAGATGAGTCCACTTTCTGACACAACTTTAACAAAGGCCTTAACAAAGAGAAGGCCCTTGCCAAAATGTCATCCTTTTCAGGCATGGTTTCCCCAGCAGGACGAATGATTTAAGTTCTTCTGCTGAGGTTTAGGATTGTAGCAATTATTACAGGGTTCTAAACTCTATATTGAGGGTCTTTCTTGCTTTCCCCCCCCATGCCTAATATGGTGAGGGCAGATTTATACTGTTATCTTTCAAGTCCTCCCTGCTCAGAAGTGATTACGATTTACATCTTCTACTGCATTCATCAAAGAAGGTGGAGTGAACATCAAAACCTTCATGGAGTTGAAAATATGAGTGAAGCTAATAAAACCCCATTCTCTTAAAACATCCTTTTTACTGAGCTCACTGCATGAGGAATACTTCTGTAACCAGCCAGCCTTCGGCGCAATTGTACTGATGTGCAGTTCACTGATTAGAAACAATACTAGATGCACTTATGATAAACTCTTTGTTGGACCTCTAATCTCTGCATGGCTACGCGCGCTTGAAATGTGAAAGCCGACTACGTGCTGTGCCGCACTATACACCTCAGTTAGGTAATAACTAAAACACCAAAGAAAAGATCATGACAATAATAATGATGGTGATGATGATAAAAATAAAATGATGTAATTGGAAAATCTTTTGTGTTACTTCTGCTTAGTCTGAGCAATTTAGAGAAAAGCTCCTAGTTCCCAAATGTTGGATTGGGAGAGAAACTCCCAGACAGCAAAACTAAATGCAGAGTAATAATTTATTTCATAATGAAGTTGCTTTAAGGGGGGAGGGGGGGTGTGGGTGGAGAGAAGAGGGGATACTTCAGATTTGAAGCATTAAAGCTGCCTGAAGCACAGAATGAATGAAATGGTGATAATGGGGGATATGGGTTTGACTCTTCAGAGGTATAATGGCACTAAATGCTTGCTGTTTCAGCTGTTTATTAAAGCATCCAGTTTTCTTCATGAATTTTTCCCAAATGCCACAATTTTAATCCTTATTCAGAAAGAATTTAACTGTTTTTCAGATAGGGATTAGACCTAATGAAAGCTTTTCTGCTGATTTTATTAGGATTTGGAAAAAAACCCAAAAGATAATAAGCTCTAACCAGTACATTTTCTGGTTTGCTCTTTTAGTAGTAACACTGCTCTCCCTAAACACTGCAAGATGATCTGGGACTTCATCCAACTCATGCTGAAGTCTTTCCACTCAAATCGAATCCTCAGTGAAAAAAATTAGAGGTGATTACTGAGTAAATACAGCACATTGTCCATTATGGGCTTTTCAGTGACTCTTGTGTTTGTTCCAAAGCCTCGTAAACGGTACTCAGCAGAACTGCGCAGTATTACAGGCCT